TTCAGTTTCTTGCACAGACTGATCATTTCGCTTCATAAGACCTCACTATATCATCAGGAGCCACTGGGATTTATCTTGTGTTGCCTGTATTTGCTTTTTTTAACTCTCAAGTGACAGTAGCTGCTAACTTGCATTTTATGGATCACCAAGGAGCACAGTTTCAGCCAAAAATCTCCTTTACTTTCTCTTGGATGACCTGAGAGTGAGTAAATTAACAGCAAATGTTTGTTTTTGGGTGAGCTATGCCTTTAACGGGTAAAACATGAAAAGCCCTTCTGTAACAAGCTGAGTGAAAATAACCCAGACTAATATGAGCTAGCATACACTGCACTGAAGCCTGACGCTCAGCTCCTGCTCCAGGCTCCTTCAGCAGCTGATCCAGAGCACAGCAGCCCATCTGGCCTTCAGTCAGCCAAAGCAGCCACATCACGTGCCTCATGCTCTCCGGCTGCCTGAATCGACCGCAGGGCCGTCTCTGGATCTGCACCCTCTTACCAAACACTGTGTCTTCACCTGAACACCAGCTGCTCCATCACAGAGGATCGCCAGGGTCAAACCTCAGCATTCAGGCAAAACAAGAACAGAAGCAACAGAGTCCTTTGGAGCAGCTCACACCGGAGATGAGCTTTGTTCAATGTGTCAAGCCTTTGTCCAGTGATGAAGCTCCATCCATCAGTCAGTAAGACCTGAGCTTTAAGACACATGTCTAGAGCCACTGCGACTATTTCACAGTGTGGCTTCACTCTGAAACCTGTTTGTCATGCTGATGGATCTGCGCTAAACATTCAGACGAGCATCTGAGAGCACTGAAGCATTACCTGTGCTGCTGTAGAACGCAAGCTTAGTTGTGGTGTGGAACTTCTGGATGAGAAACTGGGACAGAGAAATCTTGTCATCCGTGTTCAGCGACTCGTTGCCCTTCTTCCAGTAAAGCATAAGATCGTCGTCAGTGTACGCATCTGAAATAATAACACATTTAACCTGTATCATCACATCAGCTGCCGCTTGGCCTGTGCACATGCATCTGTTTTCTTCAGTTCAACAAAACCACCTGCACATAGATGTCAGAGGAGGCATGGATAAATGTGTGCTGTGTTTGTGTACG